GCCAAAAGTTCTTGAGATTATCTCCAGTGGAATGTTTTTATCTCCGGTGGAATGTTTGGGATCAGTGGAGTGGGGGTGGAGTTGAGTGGAGAATAGTGACTCGACTGATGGCCCAAAGGACAAATATTCAAGACTGATAGTCAATGCATTCAGCTGAATGTGTCTGCTTCCCAATCATGAAAGTAGCAACACAAGCTCAGATAGCAACAAAGCCAAAAAAAAAGCAAAAAAATATGGGCGTCACGGAGTGGCATCATCAGTCCCATGTAGGCGTGATGTATAGTTTGGTTAGCACATCGTGTACCCTACGACTCTGGTAGAAAAAGACACATCACTTCCCTTTGATTTAATTAAATATCAAGTTCATTTGTCTAACTAAACAGGTTTAACTTTAAAAAAAATTAAAATATTGTCCTACCCTTTATCTAGGTCAAGGCAATGGGCCTTTAGATAGATTTTGCTTGCCAGGAATTGGATCCGCTAGCCTACCTCAAGGTGAGTGCGTGTGATTTGGCATTGGATCTATAGCGGTTGCCGATTTCTCACGCATTTTCTTACTTTCCTTGGTCAGAAGGACCAGCAGCAAATTCATGAGTAAAATCACAATGTCACTCTCCCGCCTCGCCAACATGGAAAATATGGTGAAACAGGAGTTTAAGATCGCTGCCCTTGTTGGAACGATCGCCGACGATGACAGACCCGCGGATGACAATGGTACTCGCGTGAGGACCGGAAGAAAATGCCTCACCTTTGACGAGCTCGCGCTTCTGGCCCAAGAGAGTAATCCCTGTTTCTTAGTTTTCTTCTTGCTTTCTGTGCGTATCCCAGGCCGCTCGGGAGGGTGCAGGTTTGAGAAGGCTCGCGGGCGACGTAACAGCCGAGGATTCAGAGTCTAGACTACTCTTGTATTTCTCGAAAGCCTTCAAACCCACCATCTTTTTTGCGATGTTGAGCTCTATTATTTTCGAAAAGCAAAGGACTTGAAGCGAAGATCATTTTTCTCCAATCTAGTGAGCTTCACTTCAGGTCCAATTCTAGGAAATGGAATTGCTGGGTCTTGCATTGGCCTTGGATACAAAACTTTGCAGAAGTCTAGAAGATATAAAGGCATTTTTCTCACAATTAATTTATATTGTTTGAGATAAATATTCTAGAACTCTCCTCTTACAATGCCATGTAAAGATGAAATTCATGTGCAGTGCATGGGATTCCACTTAATCTGTTTAGTAGTGGGATGAGAAACATTATCACCAATATTGAAGTATTGAATAAGAGTTTTTTTATTTTGTCACAACATCACACATTATAATGGAGTGCTTCATTTGTGCTTTCTTGGTCACAACTGCTAACTTTTGTTCTTTCACCAAACATGTAAATGTTAATTTCCATATAAATTAGCCATAAGTGTATATGCAGCTTTGTTCCTTTTATCAATCTTCACCAAAGCATTGTATGCAATCTTCCCAACCTTGATATTTTTCCACTTCTTACATGCGTTCAAAATGGTAGTCCAACTTACACAGTTGGGTTCTAGAGGCATAGATTCTAACACCATCATTGCCTCATCCAAATGGTTTATTCGTCCCAAGAGATCAATCACTCCATGGTAGTGCTCATGCCCAGGACAAATCCCATACTTCGTCTTCATTGCATACAAGCACTCCTTTCCCTGTTTCACAAGTCCTGCATGGCTGCAAGCACTGATGATCGAGAGGAATGTAAAACTATCAGGACAAAGGCCAAAATCTCGCATGCTATGAAAGCTTTCAAACATGGAGGCAGCATCTCCTTGGCGACCATATCCAGCTACAAGTGCTGTCCAGGCCACAAGATCTTTCGACAACATCGAGTCGAAAACCTGTTGAGCCAAAACCACACTTCCAACTTTGCAATAGAAGTCAACCAGGCATGTTGCTATGACTTGGTTGCTCTCCAGTCCACAGCGGCAAATCTCTGCATGAGCTTTTCGTCCTAGTTGCCAGGCCCCAACACTACTGCAAGCTTTGAGTGCTGCTGCTAGAGTTCGTGGATCTCCTCCTCTCGACTTAGGCATGGTGGACAGCAGTTCCATCGCCTCATTAAGTTCTCCATTTCTGGTGTGTCCCACAAGAAGAGCTGACCAAGACGCTGGATTCCAGCACTCCATTTCGTCCAAAACTCGCCGAGCGTCCACTGTGCTGCCACACTTTGCATACATCTCCACGACCACCGTGCTGCTGTCTGCGGAGTTCTCTATCCTCGGGGCTCGAGAATGAAGAGCGAAAGCTCTCTCAAGAGAAACCAGCTTCACAAGCTTCCCCTGGCCAGCTTCTGTGAACTCCTCTTTCTCTGCTAGCCAAGCACAGGCCTTGAAAGCCACAGCAAATGTCTGAGAGTTTGGCTGGCACTTTTCTGCTTGCATGGCTACGAAAAGCTCCAGCGCAAGCTCGGCTTTCCCATTCTCCGCATATCCCAGTATCAGTGACGTCCACGGTACCACACCTGGTCGATCTATCTTGTTAAACACCTTGGAGGCGTCTATCATATTTCCGCACTTTGCATACATGTCGATCAGACTACTGGAAACAAAAACATCCGAGTCACATAATCTATTCATGCTCTCAGAGTGAATAGCCATACCTTTCTCCAGGGCGCCTATTTTCATGAAGCTCCCGTCCACTTTCGTGTCATCTTCGGCCAATGCCAAACCGATGCAAGCCTTCACTGCAGCAACAAACGTTCGACTGTTTGGTTTGTAGCCTTCCTCCTGCATTGACGAAAACATCTGTAAGGCAGCCTTACACTCCGAATTCTCAACATACCCAAGCATCAACGCATTCCATGACACAACATCCCGGCGTTGCATCTGATCAAAGACGAGCTTGAAGTCCATCACACTGCCACAGTTGGAGTACATATCAATCAGAGTGTTTTCCAAGAAAACATCGAACTTACAGTTGCTGCTTGAAGCTTCACAGTGGATGGCCATCCCTTTCTCAAGTGAGCAAACTTTCACAAGCTTTCCATGGACAGGCATTGGCTTTTCTCTACCAGCAAGGGCAACACATGACTTCAGTAAAGCAACAAACGTTCGAGCATCTGGGAGACAAGGCTCAGACTTCATCGCTGCGAATAACTCAAGAGCTGTGTCACCATCCCCATTTTGAGCATACCCTGACAAGAGAGCTGTCCACGAGACCACATCGTGACGTTCCATCTTGTCAAACACTGCTCTTGCATCCACCATACTTCCACAGGTTGAGTACATGTCGATCAAGATATTACCCACAAACAAATCCCCACTGCCGCTTTTGTTACTCTGAGCTGCCTGGCAATGCAAAGCCATGCCTTGCTCCAGTGCCACCAGTTTCACAAAACCTCCATCTATCTCCCTGCTTTCTTCTCTAGCAGCAAGACTCGAGCACGCCTTGAGAGCAGCCACATAACTTCGAGAATTTGGCATACAGCCGTTGAACTGCATGGCTTGAAGTAGTTCTAACGCTGTCGCATACTGCTCGTTCTCAACGTAGCCAACCATCAATGCCGTCCAGAGCACTACGTCACGATGCTGTGTCCCATCGAAGGCCCTGTGAGCGTCCACCATGCTCCTACACTTGGAGTACATCTCCACCAGAGTACTTCCAATGAAAGCATCCCCACTACTGAAATCCTGAGCCTGGGAGTGAATAGCCATGCCTTTTTCCAAAGCCTTCACTTTCAGCATCTTTCCATCAACTTGCATGCCCGGTTCCTTTGCTGCTAGAACTGTGCAGGCCTTGAACGCCGCTGTGAAAGTTCGAGCATTTGGACTGCAGCCTGAGCGATGCATCTGTAGTAACACGCCAAGGGCCACTTCTCCCTGTCCGTTTTCCACATATCCCAGTATCAGTGCGGTCCAGCATACCACGTCGTGATGGTGGATACTGTCAAAGACTTCTCGGGCCTCCGACATGCTGCCGCACTTGGCATACATCCTGATTAAGCTGCTTGCAATGCGAACGTTCGAGGACACTCCGGTTTCTACAGCACTTGCATGAATTCTGCGAACCTGGGCAATGCTTCTGGACGCCTTTAAAGAACATAGTAGGGACGAGACATCCTTGTCTTTTTTCTCCTGTGCGGGTTTGGAGCAGTCTGTAGCAGTGTGAGCACAGACGCGGCCGACGCATTTAGATGAAGTGCTCCATTGAATAGAAGTTGAACACTGCAACATCAAAACGTCAGAACCGAGAAAAGAGTAGAATTACTTCTTACGCTGCTCGGGGCTCCTGGTCTCGCACCACATTTCATCATTCCAGCTCGTTTCTCCAGGACATTCTTGTCGAGACACGGAGCTCTCGTCAAGCCAGGGTACATTCTAATTCACTTACATAATTAGATCTCCATGTCCTTCGTTTCTCTTTGGACACCCAAGAAGGCGGTCCGAGGAACGAGTACCTTACTTGTCAATGGACATAATGGGTCATCCAAAATTGCTCCCGTGCACTGGTTCGCCGACAAAAAAAATCTGCAACTGCAAGACGCAAATCTCAACTTCGAAATCAACAAACGCAAGTGGAACTTACCCAAGCCCCATAGTCGCCACAAATCCAAAAACCAGCTTCCGAGAGAGCTGATCTCTCCAAAGATCCAAACATGGCTTGTTTCTAAGCGCTCGAATCGAAACGGCGCTATTCAGTTTCTAAACCATCCGCTGAGGCTTATTTAAACGCCGGCGTTTATTTTGGTCGTCCCTGAAAGTGTTTTAAGGTGAACGAGAACTTTGATCATAGAAGAAAACGTACCTCATCGTCCAAAAATCGTCTGTTTCTTCCGTCAAAGAAACTTTTTCGTCAGGAATGCCGATCATTATCAACCACCTGGCAGATCCTCTTTGTAAACACCCGCTGTGGAACGGGATGCAACCTGTGTAGCGAGCTAAACGTTATACTTCGGGAGCGTGTACAATCCTTAACACCGTGTATGTGCTAAGAACACTCTCATTCCGCGAGTGGATACGACGGTTAGAAAGAAAAGACGCATTTAGAAATCTTCAGAGACTTACATTCCATTCAGTCTCCGCGGTATACAGGGCTTCGCTTCTCGGCAAACGCCGCCAAGCCTTCTAGCCTGTCTTTCGATTTAAGCACCTGTCCGTAGCATGCTTCTTCTATCTCCATCCCAGAGGCGGCGTCCACTTCACTCCCACGATCGATCGCAACCTTTGCCATTTTGATTGCCAATGGACCCTGAGAAAAACCAGTGCGAGTGACGAAACGTTACAAGGGAAATTATCCAACCCACCTGGTTTGAAATAATCTTCGCAAGCTCAAGAGCTTTTCTGTATGCATCGCCGGCGGCTGTCAAGTACTCGACGAGACCTGGACAAACGAAGGACGATGATTTCAGAAAGGAGCTGCCATCCATACCATATGATTTTGCCTCGTCAGCGCCGATCCTACGGCCAGTGAATATCAGCTCCTTCGCCCGGGACCTTCCAATTAGCCTTGGAAGCCTTTGAGTGCCTCCAGCCCTGCAAAAGTTCCATCAAGTTAATGGCAACAGATATTTTGCAGCTATTTACCCTGGAATTATAGCAAGTCCTGTCTCTGGCAGTCCAAAAGTAGCTTCAGCACCTGAACAACAAGATCTCAAGTCAGAAACTCTTAAGTTCCACACACACACAGAAACAAGAATAAGAACAATTGCAAACCACATATACGAAGATCACACGAAAGTGCGAGCTCCAATCCTCCGCCTAAAGCAACACCTTCCACTGCAGCAATTGTTGGTAGCGACAGAACCTGCAGTCTGTCCACCAGCATAAGAAAAAACAGAGCATAGAAAAAAGGACTATAGCGAAAAGAAACAACGTCCGCACCAAAAACAGGAAAGAAGACTTAGGAAACATCGAAAGAAAAAAACAAATCACCTCCAGTGATGAGAACGTTGATCGCAAACTCGTGACAAACTTTTGGGCTTCGAAGACACTCATTTTTTTCCTCTCCTGTTACGCAGTGTTTAGCACAGACAAGTATGAAATCATCTTTCACAGTGCTCACCTTAAGATCAGCCCCAGCGCAAAAAACACCCGGCACAACACTACGCAAGATCACAACTCTTGCAGCATCGTCGTCCTGTAGCCTGTCTAGAGCGCTTTGGAACTTACCCAGCATGTCGACTCCAATCGCATTCTTCGCCTCGGCTCTGTTGAGCTCCAAAACCATAATCCCTGTGCCAGAAGAGAATTGGAACACAAAAAATCCGCAAGATTCTTTCCATACCTTCCTCCGATCCGGACAGAGCGCTTAGCGAAACCTGATCCGCTGCGTCCACAAACAAACCCCTGGCCCCGATGCCCCAGGGCCATCGACGAGCTGCGCAAGGCGATCGCGACCCCGCCGTGGAGATTCTACCACTGGCGCTCGAGAAATCAATGGAATCACTAAACCCTAAGCGCAAGCGCCTGTGGATCCCAGCGCACCTCCGCAACGCCATAGCCAGGGCAAACAAACAAATGACTCTTTTTTACTTCTAACCTACTTTGAAAACTCCCGCCTTTTTAGTGCCATATCTTTGAAGCGGTCAATCACGGCTTTCTGGATGAGAGCTTTCCACGATCATAGAATCGAATCTTTAGTTTTTCTACACAACTTCCTTTCTTCTTCCTCCATGCGTTTTTGTAAAGATTCCATTGGAAAGGCAACGAATCTTCGCGGCATCTAATTTAGCAAGTTGCCCGGCGACTTTGTTTGTTTGCTTCTTGGACACAGCTAAGCCGTATCTCCACACACACACAAATAAATCTTCCATTGGCCTTTAAACACGTGATTCTTCCCAGGCAGCTTCCAGGAAATTACCCTGCCCGCCATGAAGCTTCCTTGTATTTGGATAAGTGGCTCGCTAATGCAAACGTGTGTGTCCTGCCGGGTTAAGATATAATAAAAACACTTAAATATAACAAGCATGCATTATCTAGCCCGCTTAAGATATAACAAGCACGCATTAGGAGCGTATCTAGCTAAATTGTTCTTCGTGTTCATCCCAAATAGAAATATTTTACACTAGATTTTCTCTCTAGCGTTTCAATCGCTCGCGCAAGATCTAAGGCTACCGATTGCCTCCCACGAGATCGAGTGTGGTCGAGGATCAGTCTCGATAGCTCCAAATCGATGCCTCCTCGCCCGATTCATCCTCCTCGTCACTCTGTTCTTGGCTCAATCGCGGCGGCGCGAGAAGCATCGCTTGAGCCATATCCGTGACTACATCCGGCATGTTGAAGATCATATCCTCGTCCACGTAATTCACCTGGCCCTCACTAATCGGAGGCAATGCCGGTGCCAAATCGCCGCCTGATCGCGATCGATCCTCTCCTCCCTGGGAGGAAGAACAGGGCTTTGCCACATTCTCGGGCGATTTCGAGTAGTGGTACTGCTGGGACGAGGTGGACGATGCAAGGGAGCTCCGATACGATGCTTTCGTGTTCGACGAGGAGGAAGTTCCCAGAGAACAGGAGCTAAATGCCAGGGCGGCGGCAGCGGCGGCCTGCTGGATCGACTTGGGCGACACCATAGCCGGCTGTGGAAGCGAATACGCGAACTCGGGGAAATTGAGCACGGCCTTGGGACCTTTGAGGCTGATCGCGGCCACGTCGTAAGCTCGAGCGGCCATCTCCGGCGTGGGGAAGGATCCCAGCCAAATGCGCGTCTTCTTCTTGGGCTCCCGGATCTCCGAGACCCATTTGCCCCAGCTGCGCCGCCGGATCCCTCGATAGAGCGGGTGCTGGGTCTCCTGATCCGACTGCTGCTGCTGGGGCGCTAGAAATCCCGGCGATTCCTCGCCCGAGACCTGCGCGGCGCTGGGGGAGGTCGTGCTGCTACCGCCGCCCCCGGGAGAAGCGTCGTCGGAGCTCTTGCGGCGCCGGCGGCTCCTGCCGCCATCGCCGCCCTCGCGATCGTCGCTCTCCTCGGAGCTGTTGCCCGGCGACCCCGCCGCGGTGGAGTGCCGCCGCCGATTCCTCCGCTGCTGCGGTTGCTGCTCGCGCTTGCCTCGAATCGCGCTGAGAAGAAACTCATCAAAGGAGATCACATCGGTGGCGGCGGGCGCGGAGAAGCCCTCGTCGATGGACGCCCCCGCCGCCTCGCTCGAGGAGGAAGAAGCGCTGCTAGTGGGAGCCCTAAATTTGGAGCGCCCTAAATCAGGGGACAAATCCCCGGCCACCATGTGGCACCAAAATGTCCCCCAAATGTGGCGGGAGTGGTTTCTTTCGCCCTTTCCAGGAACTTTTAGGTCAAAGCGCTCTCTCTCACGAAATCCCTCCCGCAAGGGCTTATATACTTGTGGACTCGACGCGTTCTCTTCCACGCGCTCTAGAGCGTAGTGTGGATAATTCCTGGCTTGTTGACAGTTGGAAGGAAAATCACTCCTGGGACCCCATGTCACCTTTTTGCAAGGTCATATAGTTTTTTAATCGCGTCACCATTTGGTCCTATGGTCGATTTGCCCGCATTACAATGTTTCGTGTGGCTGCGTGTTGCTGCACGCCAAGTTGGCCTCGAGCTGTATTAACAACCCAGCAAGATGCTGGCGGCTGGAAAGAATTCGCGATCTGGGGGCCAAGGTACGGCCCCATGTCTCCCCGGGATCGATCGTCACTAAAACGCTCCGGTCCTACCGTGTACGGCGAGAGGAATCACCAAAGGGGTTTTAACAGCTGGTGATTTGTGTGGAACTCATGGTTGGCAGTATAGTAATGAGTTGATTATGAAACAACGCCATTGTGGGGTCATTAACTACAAGGATTTGATTTGAGTGGAGCTCTGTGTTGTTTGGAGGGGCGTAGTTTCGTGATTGGTTGCTGACCCGGAAACATGGCAACGCCACACAAAGCAAGATGATCGTGGAGGAGTACACTATAAATTTTGCAGAGATTCAAGGATAACCAATTGATCTAAGGTTCTTATTGGTGCTATGGCATGCCGTGTATGAAGATTCCAGGATGGTCTTCCTGCCATTGCAAATTGCATCTCTCCGCCATAAAAGTCGTGGGTTTTTAATTGGATGGACACAGTTCAAACAAAGGAGCGCTTTTTGGCCTGACGAGGGTCAGTCCATCCTCCCTGACGCAAGCAAACATTTGTTTTGGGATTTGGGATTTCTACAGAAAAATCATGCTAAACAATGTAGTGGATGTCATTAGTATCGTCGTGATTCGTGAAGTTTTTGCCTGATTTTCTAAAGGAAACAGCTGTGAGAGTGTGGGCAACATTATATACTTGATAGTGTTGTCAATTTGTTCTTTGTCTCTTGAAACAACCGAGTTGCCAGTCAGCCAGCGAATCGCTGGCTAGTGGGACTCAAAAACTACATTAATGAAATTTTAGGCTTGTCCTTGTCAAGGGAGGGAGAGAGTGACAAGCAAGAGCGAAAGGTTATTGGCTTTTAATCCAATCACAACAATGTTGGCTTTTGACCCACCTCTGACGTAGCGATGGAGGATCGATGAAGACTTCTGGGCTAGAGTGATTAGAATTCAAGCTGGAAGAGAAAGAAAGAGGAGACACAGCCCATTGTAATTGGGCTGGACATAGAAACAAAACGTCACAAGTAGACTGGAACTAGGCTTTCTGTGATGATAGAGAATCCTCCTTCAGAGTTCCAGCTATAATTTGTTTCATGATGAAAGAAAACCTCGTCATGCACACGTACTATAGATTGTAAATCAGGTAGCTCTTGAGCGATTTATATTATAAGACCAAGTGCTGCAAGTTTTTCATCCAAGCTCTTCAAAAGAAACACTAGGCTCCGAGTCCAAGTTTGCCCAAGTTGGCAACATCGCGATCATTCTCCAGGAACCGGGCTCCAATCCTCCAAAATGCTGACCCCGTCCAGTGCGTGGAAGAAAGAACGTCAAGCTCGGCATTGTTCATGTGCTTGAATTTCTTGAACTTCTTCAGCGGCGAGCAAAGCAAAGCATCATCCCCAATAAGAGCAGCCCCCATGTTTCTAGCACCACCGCCTCAGTTCAGCTGAAATTTTCTTAAAAACTTGCAAGACTGGTTTTAAGAGAGGAGGAGAAAGGAGTTCATTAATCAAATCGATATATTATATTATACTAATGACCATGAGTTCCACACAAATCACCCATATCCGAACCCATTGATACAAGACAAATTATATACTAAGCGCTTGAACGTCTGGCAATCTACAGCGCTGTGTTAAACTCCTTGCTTTTGCTGGAAGATGACCGAAAGTGATTCAAGGGTAATATCTACTTTTCTTTTTGCTGTGGCAATGCCGTGTATGAAGATTCGAGGATGGTCTTCCTGCCATTCATATTGCGTTCTCTGCGTCTCCATTAAAGTCGCGATTTTTAACTGCACGGTCCAAACAAAGCAGCACTTTTTCGCCTGACGAGGGTTGAGTTACTTTGTTTGGGGATTTGTGAGCTTCTACAAAAAATCATACTAAAAAACAAAGTAGTGATTTCACGTCCCGATTCGTGTAATTTTTTTCTAAAGAAAACAGCTGTGAGGGCGTGGCGGCATTCGTACACTTGACTGCGTTCATTGTCTCTTGAAACAAGCTCTCTCGTGGGTCTTGAGGAGGGAGAGGCGAGAGAGAGAGAGCAAAAGATTTTGGCCTTGATCAATGACCCACCTTTGACGTAGAGATGTCGAAACTCCTGGACTGGAGAGATTCGAAATCAAGCTGGAAACAGAGATAGAGAAAGAAAACCTCATGCACACGTAATTAGGGTTTATCACTGTTACTTCCCAGCCCTAACGTGCAAAGGGGAAAAGGAAACTCCCGCAAGGATGAGTACCATGAAGTTCTGCCGGGAATGGTGAGTTGGGTTTGCTCGTCTCGCGTCGCTGGAGCTCGCGCTCGGCGGCATCTTGAGTAACTCCGCATTGGGTGTCAGGAAATTCATTGATTTCCTCGAACGAATGAATGCTCGTCGCATTGAAAGTGTGGTTTTTGCTCGTGGCATTGAAAGGCTTTGGATCCCCTCTTGCAGTAACAACATCCTGTATCCCAAGGAGGACCGGGATCAAAAGATCTTGCTGTATGCCTGTCGGAACTGCGACCACCAAGTAAGATCTCTTTGATTCTTTAGAGATCCAGTCACGCATTTCACTGATCTCCTTGATCTTCTTCCTGGTGATTGTGAAACTTCCGCTACTGGTCAGGAAGTAGCGGACAATAACTGCGTGTACAGGAACGAAGTCCATCACAGCGCTGGGGAGCGTACGCAAGTCTTGCAGGACGTTGCGTCGGATCCTACGCTACCGCGTACAAAATCTGTTCGATGCGTCAGATGCAAGCACGGAGAAGCCGTCTTTTTTCAGGTTTGTGCCTCTCCTTTTTCTTTTTCTTTTTTTCTTTTTTCTCTTAGCTTGCTTTCATCCATGGCTTGAAAGTTTGGAATGTTTACGTGGTTTTTTTTTTTGCGGTTTCTTGATTTTTTTCTTCCGCTAGGCAACCACAAGAGGAGAGGAGGGGATGACTCTTTTCTTTGTCTGTTGCAATCCCAATTGTGGTTACCGATGGCGAGATTCATGATCTCGATCGCTGGTCACTCACCGATTACAATAATCTTTTTCTCCCTGGGACACTCGAAAAGTTCTGCAAGCTACGGTGTGCTTGCCTATATTGATCACATAAAATCTGATAGAAAAGTGAGAGGGAGTATCGAAAAGTTGTTGGTCTTCTCGCCACTACAACTTGTGGCTAGGCCGTCGTAAAGGCTAGAGCTTTCTTTCTCTTTCTCCACCTGTGCCCCCCTTCCTCGCCCAGGAATTTTTTAGAGGATCCAGCTCACGAGATGTTGAGTAAGCGCTCACTTCTCTTTCACAGATGCTACGTCCAAAGATGCCATGTTTAAAGTCGGACATTTGGAAATCCCATGCGAAGAAACATCTGCGTGGAAGAAGAAAAAAAATCAAACAAGGCGCTTTCATCGCCAGAGCCTGAAACAAAGGTATTAATCGTGTTTTTCCTGTAGGGGCTTAAAGTAAACACCTTTTCTGTTGTGAGCCTGGAACAAAGGTATTTCCTAATCTTTCCATCTTCGAGTTTGGTAATCGTGTATTTTCTCGATCCGGGAACTTTAAAAACGTTACCTTTTAAAGTGGCAGTTATTTTGCACGGGAGTATATATTGGCAAAAGGGTCCCAGTTCTGTGGAATTATCATGTTGCTTCTTGCAGCCATGCAAAGTTTGCTTGAAGCTTCTCCTCGTCCCAGTTCATGGCTTTCTACCTCTTCAATGCATGTAAATAAGGTACGCTGGAGTATACGGTTTTGGCTGACCACCTTGACATTGATTTGGATGCTTTTCATTGTTTTTTCTTTTCGTTCCTTCCTCTTTATATTTACTGATGCTTTTTGTTTTCGTGTTTTTTTTCTTTTTTCTTTCCTTTCTGGAGGTGATGTGTGCCATTCCGGGTCATCTCCGTGGCAATTGAGAGCATTTAAGCTCCCTCCTTGTCGAGGAGAAATCGTCCATGCCTGAAAGGGGAGAATTGCGCTCGGGCAGCAGTAGTAGCAGGGGCTGTAGCGGCAGTGAAGCTTTCCAAAGATTGCATTCGAGCAGAGCAAAGGCAGTGCTGCTCCGCGGTGCCCAAGTTGTTGGTTTGATCCAATGGGTGAAGCAAAGTCACATTGGTGGCGACAAAAGAAGTCTCCGGATACTTGTTGCTCTTCCGGATTCTCGTCCTCGAGCTCCACTCCAGGAATTCTAAGGTTGCAATGTAATCATCACCATCACACCGAGAAGGAATCCGCCATCGCTTTGAGCAGTAATGGTAATGGTATGGTACAAAGTTCTTCCATTTGATCTCACATCTTTTCTGTGCTTGCAGAGGCGAACCTCTCGTCCAAGCATCCCGAAAAGAGATTTTTGAGCGAGCTGGCGAGCGAGGCCACGAAGAAAGCGAAGACGAGGACCGGAAGCCATGCTCAGCCTATGGAGGAAGCCAAGGAAAAACCATCTTTTGGAAGCTCCGGAGCACACCACCGGGTGTACAGAGGGGTCCGGCGTAGGAGCTGGGGGAAATGGGTGTCGGAGATCCGCGAGCCCAAGAAAAAGTCGCGGATATGGCTGGGATCGTTTCCAACACCCGAGATGGCGGCCCGAGCTCACGACGTGGCGGCCTTGAGCCTCAAGGGCGACGCCGCGCTCCTCAACTTTCCAGAGTCGGCCGACTCGCTCCCTCGCCCCTCGGCCTTGTCTCCAAAGGCGATTCAAGAGGCCGCGGTGGCTGCAGCGTTTGCATTCGTCGATGATCACACCAAGAACGAAGAGTTCCAAGAGTTCCAAGAGCCCAAAGTAGCAGCGGGAGTGCTCGCTCCATCAGCGGTGGAATCGATACCCCCGGCGACGAGCCAACAAAAATCGATTTTGCAGCTCGAGTCGAGTGGCTCTAGCACTTCTACAGCGTCTACTGCTACCACCGTGATCAACTATGTGGACGAAGATCTCGTGTTTATGATGCCGAGCGTCATGCTATCGCATATGGCGCAGGCTTTGCTCGTTGCTCCCCCGCCGATGTGGGAAGGAGGATTGAGCGTGGTGGAAGTGGAAGTAGACGAGGAGATTAGACTGTGGAACTTTGAGGAGCTCAATCTATCTTGAGTGACAAAGCTACACTCTAGGCAAACGCAGTATCGTCCCAAAGCCTGCTGATCTCTATAGGTGGAATTCGCTGGCTTCTTTTCTCTTTTTTATTTTCTTCTTGTTCTTGGCAGAAGAATGTTGAATTGGAAAGGATGCTTGGACTGATGCTGCTGGCACAAATCTATGCTTTGCCCTACGAGCTTCATACATGTGCTAGGCCCAGAGTATGCAGGGACGAAGACCGTCGTCTCCATTCTCCAAAACTACAACCTCTCAGCTTGGATTTTTCGGGTCGTGGGCCTGTTTTCGTTTTCCCCTCTTTGGTTCTAGAGCTCTTGTGAAATAAAGTTTATACTAGACAAAGTAGAAGCTCTGAGAATGGTAACTCTCTTTTAAACGAATGGAAAAGTTTCAGTGTTTTGATCTTGCCAACTGAGATTCCAGTTTGGATGTTTCTAGAGCGCTTTATTTTTTTGGATTTTTTCTCTCTAGACTCAACATGGAGAACTGGCTGGTAATAAATTTGATCCAGCACACTCTTACGTTGCACAAATGTGGTGCGTCACTCCCTCAGTAAGATGGACAGGAGGAGTAGAAGAGACCCATACTGTACAAACTCTTGCTACTTGTTTTGTATTTTTAGCACATGAATTATCATTTAGATTCATTTCCCTCTGACCTGTGTCCAATGCAAATGCAAGTTGATAGATCTGCTACATGCTTGAATCATCCTGTGCGTTTTGTACAGTATTATATTACTAATATCAGAATTATTATCTTCAAAGTTACAGGCTCGAATTCAACAAAAGCTTTCGACACAATCACCGTTAAAAAGTTCCGTAAGAGTGACACACCGTTCTGTAACCTGATCAAGTGGGTCAAATCCATTGCCTCTGAGTTTGTTCCAATTTAGCATGACTTGGTTTTAAGGCCAAGGCAAGTACATGCTACAACTAAACATAAAGCTGGGAGCTTATCCCTGGATTCATCGCCGCCGCCACCCCTTCGCTTTCGTACGCTTTCGTACTGGAAAGTCTCTTGTGTGCCATTTCACGAGATTTATGACAAGGAAAGAGATTTATGAACCAGCTACTTTTGCTAACGAATTTGCTTTGTTTGATTGTAAACTTGGCTGAAAAATAACAAAAATTAACACCGGTCCAGCGTGCTGGCAGTACGTGGTCGAAAGAAAAATATTAAGATCAGCGTTGGAGCATTGGGGTGTGTGCTCTTTAAATGTGAAAGCATTGTTCTGTAGAAATAAAGTATCCAATCTTTTTCTTTCCCCTTTTTCTCGTTCTTGAACGCACACACACCAGCACAGCATGGAACAATAATTTCAGAGAGAATTATCGAAGATACTTGACCCTGTGTCGGATTGAAGGTCACTGCCCTGCCAAGTTCTCCCTGCTAAGTTCTCCCTGTTTTCCTGCTTGCCTGATTTTGAATTACTGTTCTTTTGATTAGAGCTTCTCTGCAACTCCAGCCTTTTGGTCCATATGATCGCTGCCACAAGATCCTGACTGAAAGATCGCTGCGTTTATGTGGCACTTTGGCTCTGGGCTCTGGGCTCTGCGGAATTCCTGCGAATGCGACGCTTTGACTATATCTTGTTTAGATCTATATGATTTGATCAGTTATTTTCCTGCTGTTTCATGTTTTGAGAACTATTTTACAAAGGCCAAGGAAAGCGGACAAAACTTCAGGGACGATTTGACAATCCACTCACCAAAGGACCGAAGTTGTTCATACATTTATCCATGCTTTTGGCTCACGCTACAATAAAACGTGTGCTTGGTTCGCTGTGAGCTCTAGATTCTGCTACGTGCCCAGAAACTTTTCATACGAAATTTTGTCAAGCATTTGCCACTGCATTACAGTACGAGACCTTACAAAATCGGTCAAATACTATTCTCATGCGTATGGTTTAGTATTTATTAAATCTAAACAAGGCTGAAAGATCATAGTGAATATACCTAGAATGTACAAGCTAGAACATTGAATTATCGAAATAAATCATGACTTCGTCATGTCAAGAATGTGCTTTGTAAGTCACTAGTGTGTCATGGTGGTGATTGTGATTCCAACACAATCATTGGCATATATATACATTGGGAAAGTTGGCAAGCACTATGAACAAGGAATCAAACTATTCGCTACGTGGGTAAAAGTTTTTGGTTTGTTGTGGATATGTGTTCCACTGCGGCTGAAATTGGCAACTCATACTTATCCCGGGAAACTGCCAATGTTTTTATTTAATGCCCGTGAAATGGCCGCGAAGGAACACCGAGCAACAATTCTCTGGATTAGAACAACTGGAGAACCTGTTTTTGAGTTATTTTTTTCCATCTTTGCCGCCGGTACTGCTGCCTAAGATTTAGTCACTGGATCAAACGACATCAATCTCCGGAAGTTCTCCCACTCTTTCACCCAAACTTTGGCCTCGTAGCTGCAAACACTGTTCTTGCTATCCGTGGCCTCGACCGTGAGGAGATACATCACTCCGGACACTACTTGGCTCTTCGCTTCCACCAGTTTGGAGTACAAGAGCGTCCCATGGCCACTCTGGAAGGAAGAATCACAAGTTATATAAGCTTCCACATTTCCAATCTGGAAGAAAACTAAGGGAAGTCCACCATTTTCGATGGCTAAGTTATAGGAGAGAAGCAAAGCAAAGCAAAGCAAAGCAAAGCAAAGAAGCCAAGGAAATTATAGGAGTCCACATTTTGTGTCGCTAGGCAACCAAAGAAATGGAGGAGAAGATCACAATTTTACTTTATGAGCTACCAAAGAAACAAAGGAAGAAGAAGAAGAAAGTAAACTCAAAGCGCAAAGAAGCTAAGGAAATAGGAGTCCACATTTTGTATAGCTAGGCAACCAAAGGAAGATCACAGATCACTCTATGATCTACCAAAGAAATCATAGAAAACAAACTCAAGCGCCAAGAAGAAGGATTTGATGGCTTACCAGCTTCTTGTTGTGCTCGTGGACTGCAAATTTCGCAAGCGTGACGACATTGGGGTCCTTGGGATCGATCGCGCTCCAGCCGCCCACCAGCGAGGACACGGGCTTGCCGCCCCCAAATTCGATCCTCCTATCCCTACCAAATCGACTCGCCTCACCCACACGGCATGCAAGGAGCATCGCTGCGACAGCGATCCAAACCCACGCGCGCGTCATCTTCGTCGCCATAGCCATCGCCAAGCCCAAGCATTCTTTGCCCCCTTCTCACTTTATAACCGGCAACCCTAAATCAACGGCCGCGATGGCGACACGTTGACGGCATTTGCGCTAACGGGGCGGTGCCTGTTAAAGGGAAGCTGTTAGGGTTCTTCGCGTGGAAGATCAAAATGCTGTATTGCGGAGGTATGTTCTCTTGTAGATTCGCGCGATTCGTGATTTTGTTTCAGCAGTGTGTAGCTTGCCACCGGAGTACTGCGAGTTTGGGCCGGATTTCGAGAAATGCAAGCCATGGCTTGTGGAGAATGCCTCGGATTTGTACCCCGAGCTTGTGAAAGGCAGCGTAAAGCGTTTTTTTTTTCTTCTAGAGGCTTAAATCTTTGCTCTGTTTCTTTGTTTCCTTACAGAGAAGATTGCTCAGCAGCTGGGAGGAATGACAGTATCGGATGTGGGGAATAGCTCTAAAACGCAAGGTAATCCATGCTCTTGCTCTAGAGCTGTGTTTTTTTTTTTTTAACTCGTTTTTTTCTGTTCTACGTGTAGAGGAGGAGATCAAGAGGTTGCCAGGAGGAAAGATAAAAAAGAAGGTGAGAACTTTTGTGATTTTGGAAGTTCTTTACGATGTTGTGTGCAGGAAAAGCTTGAAGTGTTGGTAGAGAGAGTTACCAGGAACAAGAGAAAGTGCTTGACAACGATCAAAGGCCTCGACATGTTTGGTAGGCAGCTTCTATTGCTTTTGTTTTGATCTCTCGACATTGTAATGTAGGTGTCAAGCTTGCTGACGCTTCGAAGAAACTTGGAAAGAAGTTTGCAAGCGGTGCTTCGGTCGTGAAGGTTTGTATTCCCTCGGGCCTGCTTGAATTTGAAGATAAGTTCCTTTTTCTCTGGATGACTAGGGTCCTACCGAGAAAGAGCAAATCGATGTGCAAGGAGACATTCTACTAGATATCGTAGAGTTCATCACAGAAACATGGCAGAATGTAAGCTACGTTTTTCTCATGCTATGTGCTAAATCGATTTGATTATACAGATCCCTGAGTCAGCTATTTACTTCATTGAGGATGGAAAGAAGGTTCCTGCGTGCTGAAGTTTCTGTTTGATTCTTTGCATGAGGTTAATGCTCCAAGTGTTAATGCTCCAAGTTCAACATCTAGGACATTTGAAACTTTTTGTTTTAGCGACATATATTTTTTAAATATGGCCTCTAATATATAGTGAGAACAGCGCATGGCCAACCAGGAAAAAGCAAGTTATTCAAGTGTCGTTTTTAGTAAAATGGCTGAGTTTCGCTATACACCCACTTTTTCATCCTCTCAAAGGGTTAAGATGTAATTTCACAACTGCCCAGCGCAGTAATCGTCCTGAACCCAATCCCATCATGCACTGACAATGCTCAGCGCGAACAATCACTTCGTGAATTTACAATTTCCAGTAACGTTTGTAGTCTGTAACATTAATAACCAATAAGAATCATGAAGTATAAAAAAAAACTTACCAGAAGACTGGTACAAAGTACTCCACTGTAGACTCTCATTGTTTATACTCTCTGTTGTGCCCGATCTTCCCAAAAACAATACACTTCATGGGATAGCCACAGTTAGGATCATTGTCGATTGCAACACTAGTAGCGTTGAGAGCGATCTGTGCAGCTGTCTTCTCGTTGATATCACGGGCTCGGTGAAGAGATCTCCTCAAAACTGGTAAAGCATAGGGAGTTCCAGAGCCAATACACCCTTCCTTCACTTCCTTTACCACCCATTTCTTTGGCTCTGTCTCGACAATGAGAAATAGCTTTGCCACTGAAAAAAAGTCAAATTATTAGAATTTAAATAACAAATAAACTAAAATTACCTCGTCCAATATAACCAACTACCATTATGTCTATCTTCCATGATTCTTTGTTGAGTAAAGCACATAACCTTTTTGAGATATCACCAGCATCTCCATTCATCTTTTTAATTTCTTCCAAAGCCTTAGCTATCCCAGAGCCATTACCTAAAAAAACAAAATTTACAAACCAAACATTTAAAATAGAAAAGTCTTACCAGAGAAACCAATAGTAGTAAATGGAGATTGCCTTGGTTAAATTAATTTTTCTGCTCCATCTTGATATTCGTGATATTCCTCTTGTTTACCAATCCTCAATTTTACCACCTTCTTCTTCCTAATTGCATTTTTATCCTGACATCTTGAATTCACCATCACTTGACGGGAATCTAAAACATAAATTGTTAAAACTATAACTCCATTAATAATTTAAAACTAACCTGAACATATTACATAGTTTCCGTGATCCCAAACAAATCCAAGAATAATTGTGTTGCTTTTAAAAGAATTTGATCTGAAAAAAAAAAGAGTAATCAATACTATCAATAACAACAATGTAATATAAATAAACCTGTCTGGAAAAAGACGTCCTGGCTTAGGATCCACCTGGCTTAGGATCCACCTGTTATAAAACATGTGATTAAACATTACTATTAAAAATCTGCGAAAATAAAGAAAATACCTGGAAGGCCTTTGTAACAGGAGCAATCTCTAGTAGAGTGGAATCATGTTTTGCCTGGTTGCCCTATAAAGTATTGAAAAGCACACATAAGCATTACTATATTAAAAAACTAATAACAGTACTCACCTGGATGGTGTTTGTGGCAGGAGCAAACATCCAAACCTTGCAGCACGGTCGGAAGCAGCGATCGCACGGCAGCTGGAAGCAGCGATCATTGCCATTGCACGGCGGCCGGAATCGACCCTCACCATCGCAGCACAGCCAGACATCCCGGAATCGAGCCTTGCCATCGCACGGTGGCTGGAAGCAGCGATCATCGCCATCGCACGGCGGCCGAAATCGACCCTCACCATTGCGGCACGGCCAGACATCCCGGAATCGAGCCTCGCCATCGCACGGCAGCTCAAAGCAGCGATCATCGCCATCGAACGGCGGCTGGAAGCAGCGATCATCGCCATCGCACGGCGGCCGGAATAGACCCTCACCATCGCGGCACGGCCAGACATCCCGGAATCGAGCATCGCCATCGCACGGCAGCTCGAAGCAGCGATCATCGCCATCGAACGGCGGCTGGAAGCAGCGATCATCGCCATCGCACGGCGGCCGGAATCGACCCTCACCATCGCGGCACAGCCAGACATCCCGGAATCGAGCCTTGCCATCGCACGGCGGCTGGAAGCAGCGATCATCGCCATCGAACGGGCGATCATCGCCATCGCACGGCGGCCGGAATCGACCCTCACCATCGCGGCACGGCCAGACATCCCGGAATCGAGCCTCGTCATCGCAGCACCGGCATCGAGCATCGCCATGGCACCGCGGCCAGAATCGAGCAGCCTCCACCATGAAATTTCCGCCAGCAATCGATCTATCTTGCTCTTCGAGCGCCAGCGCCATGAGATTCTCCAGACCAAAAACCCTAAGTGCCAGGCGGGAAATCTCTCCTGATAGCCAGAAAATGGATAGACAGAACTGAAAGCCCATATGCATCGGGACTTCTTCCAACAGAAATCTTGGAAACAACACAGGCGCGTTTTAAAATCCAAGCTCATCGAGACGAAGCAGCGCACTCTCCCGGCGTGGCCGCAAGCTAGCAGGGCCAGCACAAAGCACGTCTCGTCAGGTGTAGACGTGGTTTTGATCGAGTGGAACGTCTCTATAGCTCGGTGGAAGTAGCTGCCGTGAGCAAGGCCAGCGAGCATCACGCTCCAGGCATCGCTGCTCCATCCGCTCCAGGATCTTGGTGGCTCGATCGACGAAACCATTCTGGAAGGAGAACAGTCCAGGATATCAAATCTCTCGCAGGCATTGCTCCAAAGAGGCGCAGTATCTCGCGAAAGTTCTCAAAGTTCGCGGAGCCCGAGAGGATCGAGTTCCAGGCCTTCAAGTCGTGCTCCGGCATTGCCGAGAAAAATTGCTTGGCCTCTTCTAAATGCCCGTGCTGCGCGAACGAGGAAAGAAGAGTGTTCCAGGAAACTATACTTCTTTCTGGCATGACTTCGAAGACTTGCCTTGCTTCTTCCAGAGAGCTTCCATTCATTCCATGACACCAAATCCATGACTGGCATTGATTTGAAGAGACTCTTCACTTCCAAGGAATGGAAACTTTGGGTGTGAGCAGCGAGCATCACATTCCAGGAGACCAAGTTCCATTCGGGCATTCTCTCAAACAATCTGTTAGATTTAAGAATATGCCCGCTTTGGGCATATGCTGATAACATAGCAGTCGTGGAAACCACGTCGGAGGTAAGCATTCTGTGAAACAAGATCTCTGCAATAATCCATGCGATGGTGTTGCGTGCAGGCAACTCAGAACTCACTAGCAAAGGGAAACAAAAACGAAGGATACAACCTTAAGAAGTGGAAGAACTTTGTGTAACAATCGTTGAAAAACTTGGTTTATGGAGTATGCGCTCCAAGTGTTCACTCACCTCCTCGTCTTGTCAAGCGACGCAAGGCTAACAATTCCAGCTGATCCAGTCGAGAGCAGCTGCTGGCGAGCAAAATCAACCATGCAATCCAGTTGCTCCCGCGCACCATCCCAACCCAGCGTCCCAGCACACGCGCTCCTCTCGGCGTCGGAGAGGCGCGTGATGTGGCACACTGCCAGCGTCTCGTCCATCTCGGCCGAGTCCCAGCTCCATTGTGCACGGTCTCCTTTTGCAGGTGGGGCATTTCGGACACCGCCTGGAGCTTTTCAGCGCTCTTACATTGTGTGAGTGTGCTTCTTGGCTCTCAGCGAATGAGTTAAATGAAGCAAGACAACTTTCAATACCATTGACTTTCATTTACTTCTTGACTTTTTATTGACTTACACTGACTTTTTCCGCTGGTGATCCTCTCAATGAAAGCTTTCGCATCTCTTTTAGACATGGCACTTTGCGTGCTTGCGATAGGCGTCCTGGAGAAAAGAATGTAGGAGTTACCAGCAGCTCCACAAAACAGAGGCACAGAGCCAAATTCCTGAATTACAAATGAAAGAATCGGTATTTACACCGCTGCTTTTATTTAGCCAGAATTGCTTGTGCTTCCCTGGAAAGTAAAATGCAAGTGGAGCTTGATGGATGAGAGAGCAAAAACACAACATTCGTACCTCTGAAGAATCGGCTACTCTTCCAGACTTGCTCCTCCTGCTTCTGCTAGACGCCACAATGATCGACTCCATATCATCCGGAACTATCCACTGCTGCAGAAGTGCCTGTTCTTGCGCTAAAGCTTGCTGATAGCCGGAAACCGAGGTCACGGACCGCCGACTCTGCGTACTGCTCAGTCGTGACGGATTATTCCTCATCACCCAGAGCACCACCACGCAAGGTATCACTTCACCTAAACAACAAACCGCAAACCATCAAAGATTACTTCTGAAATGCATCCATACCTATGAATGAATACAGAAAGAATACTACGGACGTGTATCGGCTGCGAATTTTAAACACCTGCAAAATAGGCCCACCATAGCTGATGTCGCACAAAGTGGAATCAGGACTTACGCCCAAAAGAATGAAAAGAGCACGTATGGAGAAGCACAGCACCGATACGACTGCCAACCCTGCTACCTGAGAGCAAATAAACTTGAGAGTTTCCCCTCATATTTCCAGAAAACGAAAAAGATTCAAACCTTTTGTAACTCTGCTGATGTCTTTCCAACACGCAGCCTGCTCATCCTTGTATATAATGCAAGTCCTGGAAAAGCCTTGATTAGAACATACGGTTCCCGAAAGGAACCCTCATACCATATCCTGCCAGGCCCCCACCGGACAAAAAAATAACAATGGCAAGCATATCCGAGTAGATCTGCAAGCAAGTATCATGTCAACGCAGCATGGACCAATAATTATTTGTCACCTCGGCAACAGTCCCAGAGTCTATGAAGTTGTCCCCCATCCCGATCCATATCAGAATTGCACAGACTAAGGTGATCATGAATATCAGCATCACAACCTTCAAAAATAATTCAAGTTAGTACCAAATACCCAAGTAACTTGGAAACTCACCGCTATCACAAACTTCTGACGGCCATGAATTCTGGATCTCCACCAATGACAACAGCGGCGATGCTTGTCCGTGTGCACTGGGACTTTGGGATCCTTGCCGACTGTAGCCTGTGCTTGAGCTCCATCAGTTTCTTCCTCGTCATCCTCCTCCTCTTCCTTATCTGTGGCTTGATGACAAAGATCCACCCTGATAGAGGATAAGTTTCTCGATACACTAGACAAAAGGAAGCGTACCAGAACGATAACAACAGCAAGAAGGTAGCAAGAAACAGTATCTGAGGAACAGCTGCATCAATAAAGAAACACTCGTTGTCAGTAAAACGAGCCAAGCACACACATTAAAGACGTACCCATGGCTATAAATCCACACGCATGCTTCCAGCAATACCATCCTTGGCAGGGTGCAATCACGTTTAGCACGAAATATAGACAATATCCTGTCCAAAACCTGTGTAACGCAAGGATTTTACACTAGCTAACAAGCGTACCAAGACTCGCCACGCCAATCAAACAATGAAAAACCTGGAAGGGAAAAACAGTGATCGAGAGAAGAATACAGGCATACCTTTTGCCGTGTCCACCGCAATGGCAGAGTATACAAGTACAATCGAAGAAGCTGCGAGAGTTTTGTTTGATTAAAGAGAGAAAACTGCGGAAGGAAAAATTTTGCCCTGCCTGTGAAAATGCCGCAATAGCTATCAGCGCATTGATCGCAGCTAGGATCGAATTGGCGATGGTAATCTCCCGATCCGGGCATCTGCTCGCGCGCTGGAACCCAATCCATGCGCTATACATCATAATGCTCAGCCCGATCCAGGCCCAAATCTGGACCAAAGCATTTTCCTGCTGGCGGCCCTGCTGCCTAACATCCAGTCCCTCCTCGCCCCTGCTCCGATCGATCGCGCATTTCCCCCTCTTCACACAAAATATCCAAACCCTAATCCTATAAACCCTAGACAATTAATGAGATTAATTTCCTGAAGTTAATATTTAATAGTTTTTAATTTTTAAAGATATTTAAAAATAGGAGGACAAAAGGAGAAATTATTATTAAGTACAAAATACTCCTTTCATACCCATTTTGTTGTTGATTTTTTAAAATTATTATTATTTTGTAATTCATAATTTATATAACAAATAATTTATGCTATTTGATTTTAAAGAATTATAGAAGATTGATATGATGGTTGTTGATTATGTGGAATAAAATAATCTACATTCTTGAAATTTCATCACTATTTACATGCATTTATGCATCTCATCTAAAATTTTAGCCAAAACAATTTCAAAAAATAAATCAAATTAAAAATAACTATTTAATAAATAAATTATAAATTTTCTTAGTTGGCTTAAATTTTTTACACTATCTTGATATTTAGTATATATAGCTTAAATTACTTTTTTACCACTGTTTCTTTTAATTATAAAGAATCTAAAACATAAATTAAATTAAAATTAATAATGCTATGCTAACATGAATATATGACTCAGTTTTTGTGATCCAAGAATAATTATAAACATTTGATTTTGACAAAAAAGTTATAGTTAATATTATTAAACAAAAGTCTTACAATTTTACGTATTTGTGAATGTGCCCTTGTATATTCTTATATTATAATTTAAACTAATTTTTTGTGCAGTATTATTTGATATGGAAATCAAAAAATTGTTGATAAAACAAAAATGCATTTTAATAATAATAATTTTATTATATTCCTAAAAATTAAAATGATTTTAACTTAGTAATATGCCACTAAGCAGTGTTTATTAGATAGAATTGAATAAATAAATTTATTTGTAAAACTCGAGAACTGTTAGAAGTTGACCAGTCACGTCCATATGACTCGATTGTTTGCAAGTTTCCTAATGGTTGTGGTCCCCTCTCAACTTTGGGATGGTGGAGACTCAAAAGCTAGACTACTGAAGTCACATTCAGCTGATAAATAAACCAACACCTGAGGAAGGCTTGTTAAAATCTGCTCACTATGACCGTGCATGGCTAGCAGAGAAACAGGAGTTCACAGAAGCTTGGCCTGTGAAGGCTTCTCAAGGGAGAGCTAAATACTCTTCTCAACAGCGGACGCTCAGCGAGTTTTGGCTGAATGCTGTTGGAAAGCCATTGTTGCAAATAACTCCAGGCTGTGTATTCTGAGCATACTCTATTCATGAGATCACATCGTGTTCTACCTTGTCAAACACTCCCCATACTTCCATAGGTTTTCATATGGGAAATGCTTCTAAAGGCCTTCAGCTTCTCCTGTGCGGGTTTGCTGCTAGCACGACTAAAGTGCTCCAGTTAATCACGGAAAACTCAAAAGCTCATAGCTGAAACCACTCCTCTCCACATTTCAGAAACCTGATTGTTTCTCTAGCACCTTTTTGACCTTGGCTTGACGAGTAGCTCACTTAGATAATTGGATAAGTATGTCCCTCGCTTCTCTTTGGAGACCCGAAGGAATACCTTCCTTTGCTGATAAAAAGAACTCTGCATGACGGTAATCTCCACGTCAAAATCACATAACGCAAGTGAAATTTACTTCCGGCAAGCACCCAGCACCGTGGTCCACGTAACAACATTCGCTCTAAAGGGCATGGTTTTTACCACATCCACCGCTTCGTCGACTTGGCTTACACGTCCCAATAGATCTGCCATACAGTGGTAGTGCTCAATGTCCGGGCTGACCCCATACTTCGACCGCATCACTTCAAAAAGGAGCTTAGCCTCATTTACCATACCAGCGTGACTACACGCAGTCAAGATGGAGAGAAACATTATCCCGTCAGGCTGTAGTCCTTTCTCTTGCATTCTGTGGAAGATCTCAAGAACTTGCTTGGTGTTTCCTTGCCGGCAGTAGCCCACTGCTAGAGCAGTCCATGTCACAACATCCCTTTTCACGGTAGCATCAAACACAACCTCCGCATCCACCATTCTTCCGGACTTCCCATAAAAGTCCACCAGTGAAGCTGCTAGAACCGCATCGTTCTCCAGGCCACGCCTGCAAAGCTCCGCATGAACTCGTCTTCCAGTCTCCGAAACCATCAACTTCCCACAAGCCTTCAATCCAGCGACAAACGTCAAGTAGTTTGGAGTGCTGTCCCGGGATTGCATCATGAGCGAGAACACGCTGAGAGCGGCAGCAAACTCCTGGTTTTGCACGTAGCCCAGCATCAAAACGTTCCAGGACACGGCATCACGTCGAGGCATTGTATCGAAGACTCTCTGAGCGTCCACCATGCTCCCACACGAAGCGTACAAGTCCACAAGCGTGTTGAGGACGAAGATATCCAAGGTGCCACTCCTCAAAACCTTTCTGTGTATAGCCATGCCTCTTTCCAAAAGAACCAACTTCACGACCTTGCCATCGCCAGCTTTTGTTCCTTCCTCTTGAGCAGCAACATTGGTGCAGGCTTTCAGCACCGCAACAAGAGCCCGAGCATCAGTCCCACACCCCTGTGCTAGCAAGCCAGGAAATAGCTTCATGGCAACTTCGGATTTCCCGCTTTCAATGTACCCGAGCATCAAAGCAGTCCATGAAACTACCCCACGAAACTTCATCCTGTCGAAAACTCTTTGAGCATCTCGCAAGGCCCCGCACTTGGCATAAACGTCAACCAGGCTGCTTGCCACGAAAAGTTCGAGCTCGCACCCGTAATTCACAGCCAGGACATGAAGTGCCATTACTTGCTCCAGAGATCTAGCCTTCATCCATTTGCCGTCGATCTTCTTGCCGTCTTCGTTCTCAGCCAGACCGAGACAAGCCTTGAGCGCAGCAACGAAAGTTCTGCCGTTTGGAGCACAGCCCTCGGCCAGCATGGCTGAAAATAAATCCAAGCCGAGGTCACTCTGTCCGTTTCGCACGTAGCCCATCACTAGAGTATTCCAGGACACCACTTCGCGGGCTTGCAGCTTGTCGAACACACTGCGAGCTTCGTTCATGCTCCCACACTTTGCATAGAAGTCGATCAGAGTGTTTGACACGTAAATGTTCGAGATGCTGCCGCTTTCGATTGCTTCTGCATGAATTTTCCGTCCCTTCTCCAGGTCCTTTGAACGTCTGCACTGCTTCAAGGCATTTATCAGCACCGCTATGTCCTGGTGTTGTTCCTGCTTCGTAAATGTTTTCCTGGTCCAAAGTGTTTCTGGAGGATTTTGTAAAGCAGCCATTACTATCTCAGTTTTCCAAAGCTGCAATAAAACAGAACATGAGTAGTTCATGTGCAAAGCTTTATGGCACACTTACTTTCCAAGTTAAAAATTCTCAAGGAGCTTTGCAATGCAAGCATCCCTCTGTAGAACTACAGGCGGGTGAGCTTTGTCGATATCAGCTCAAGGTGACTAGGAACCTATGCAACACACACTCGAAGAGCAGTGCTCTCCGAAAAGTAATCTGACTGAGCCCGGGGATAGCGGATGAATCCTTGTTGGTAGAGCTCTTCCGCGGCCTGCAAGTTCAAAGGTTGCCGATTGATAAACACGAACCAACAGCTTAGAGATTCACACCTTCATTGTCTCCTGAGACCCAAGGTAATCTTTCGAGCGTGTACGAATGATGAAAGGAAGATAATTTAACCGTAGCAAGAGGCTCTTCCACGCACATTTCATATATGGCAACGGCGGGTACATAGTCGAAGAGATGGCCACGCCTGCGAAACGTGGAAACTAAGCAAGCTACGACTTACGCCCATTTGAAGGACGCTCCATCGTTCTCCGAGCTGTACACGCAGTTTATGGTCCAAAAACCTTCAGGATGAACTTGCCAGTATCTTTCAACGACAAAGCCTTGAGTATGTTAATGGAGATTCTCTTTTCTCTCGTTACCTGGTACGGGCCATAGCTAAGAATGGCTCGTCAAATGGAAGAACAAAGCGGTCCTTGTCTGAAAGCGAGTGAAGGAAGCACCTCTACGTACATCGATCTCCTAGACATCTGTTAGAACCAAAAACGGAAAAGGAACTCTAAAGCTTAGAGAAAAACCTGGCGGGCGTCCACAGCATCCGAAAGATTGCGATCTGGCCGGGTGCCAATTCTGTGCTGGATTACCCTGCAAAAACTATCAGTCCCAAAAGAAGAGAAACAATGGAAGTGTCTCGAAAAATGCTGAGAAGCGAGCGTAAGAGTCCACTAATATTGAGACAAACCTCTACCACTTCGTAGGCAATGTTCTCGCCTTCTCGATCAATTAACTAGCTAGAGCTTTCTCCCAGTTCTCCTCGGCCGCAAGATATCGTTCACTAAACCCTAAAGGAAACATAGCAAATCTACTGGTTGTGGGCGAGCGGAAAAATCTACCTGGGGAGGGGTGGAGGCCGGCCAATACATCTACGAACTATGCCGTGATGGCGTGTGCTATCTCTGCACGGACTAATTTATCTCTTACAATGCGTCCTTCATGGTTGTTTGTGTGCTTCTGATTGAAGTGGCGTGTTAATCATTTCTCAATGCTTCAATGTT